ACATGAAAAGGATCATACACCATGATCAAGTGGGGTTTATCCCAGGAACGCAAGGATTCTTCAATATGCACAAATCAATCAATGTGATACACCAGATTAACAAACTGAAGGATTAAAACCATATGATCAGGCTTCCCTGGTGGCACAGTGGTTGAGAGTCCACCTGCCGATGCAGGGGACATGGGTTTGTGCCCTGGTCCAGGGAAGATTCCACATGCCGCGGAGCAGCTAGGCCCATGAGCCATGGCCGTTGAGTCTGCACATCCAGAGCCTGAGCTCCGCAATGGGAGAGGCCACAACAGTGAGAGGCCCGCGTACCACAAGAAAAAAAAAACCCATATGATCATCTCAATAGATGCAGAAAAAGCCTTCGACAAAATTCAACACCCATTTATGATAAAAACCCTGCAGAAAGTAGGCATAGAGGGAACTTACCTCAACATAATAAAGGCCATATATGACAAACCCACAGACAACATTGTTCTCAATGGTGAAAAACTGAAACCATTTTCACTAAGATCAGGAACAAGACAAGGTTGCCCACTCTCACCATTATTATTCAACATAGTTTTGGAAGTTTTAGCCACGGCAATCAGAGAAGAAAAAGAAACAAAAGGAATCCAAAACGGCAAAGAAGAAGTAAAACTGTCACTGTTTGCAGATGACATGATACTATACATAGAGACTCCTAAAGATGATACCAGAAAACTACTACAGCTAATCAATGAATTTGGTAAAGTAGCAGGATACAAAATCAATGCACAGAAATCTCTTGCATTCCTATACACTAATGCTGAAAAATCTGAAAGAGAAATTAAGGAAACACTCCCATTTCCCATTGCAACAAAAAGAATAAAATAGCTAAGAATAAACCTACCTAAGGAGACAAAAGACCTGTATGCAGAAAACTATAAGAAACTGATGAAAGAAGTTAAAGATGATACAAACAGATGGAGAGATATACCAAGTTCTTGGATTGGAAGAAACAACATTGTGAAAATGACTCTACTACCCAAAGCAATCTACAGATTCAATGCAATCCCTATCAAACTACCAATGGCATTTTTCACAGAACTAGAATAAAAATTTCACAGTTTGTATGGAAACAAAAAAGACCCCAAATAGCCAAAGCAATCTTGAGAAAGAAAAACGGAGCTGGAGGAATCAGGCGCTCTGACTTCAGACCATACCACAAAGCCACAGTAATCAAGGCAGTATGGTAGTGGCACAAAAACAGAAATATAGACCAATGGAACAGGATAGAAAGCCCAGAGATAAACCCATGAACATATGGTCACCTTATCTTTGAAAAAGGAGGCAAGAATATACAATGGAGAAAAGACAGCCTCTTCAATAAGTGGTGCTGGGAAAACTTGACAGTTATATGTAAAAGAATGAAAATAGAACACTCCCTAACACCATACACAAAAATCAATTCAAAATGGATTAAAGACCTAAATGTAAGGCCAGACACTATAAAACCCTTAGAGGAAACATAGGCAGAACACTCCATGACATAAATCACAGCAAGATCCTTTTTGACTCACCTCCTAGAGAAATGGAAATAAAAACGAAAATAAAACAAATGGGACCTACTGAAACTTAAAAGCTTGTGCCCAGCAAAGGAAACCATAAAGAAGATGAAAAGACAACCCTCAGAATGGGAGAAAGTATTTGCAAATGAAGAAACTGACAAAGGATTCATCTCCAAAATATACAAGCAGCTCATGCAGCTCAATATCAAAAAAACAAAGAACCCAATCCAAAAATGGGCAGAAGACCTGAATAGACATTTTCCAACAAAGATATACAGATTGCCAAAAAGCACACAAAAGGATGCTCAACATCACTAATCATTAGAGAAATGCAAATTAAAACTACAATGAGGTATCATCTCACACCGGTCAGAATGTCCATCATCAAAAAATCTACAAACAGTCAATGCTGGAGAGGGTGTGGAGAAAAGGGAACCTTCTTGCACTGCTGGTGGGAATGTAAATTGATACAGCCCCTATGGAGAACAGTACGGAGGTTCCTTAAAAACAAAAAATAGAACTACCATATGACCCAGCAATCCCACTACTGGGCATACACCCTGAGTAAACCATCATTCAAAAAGAGTCATGTAGCACAACGTTCATTGCAGCACTATTTACAATAGCCAGGACATGGAAGTAACCTAAGTGTCCATCGACAGATGAATGGATAAAGAAGAGGCACATATATACAATGGAATATTACTCAGCCATAAAAAGAAATGAAATTGAGTTATTTGTAGTGAGGTGGATGGACATAGAGTCCGTCATACAGAGTGAACTACGTCAGAAAGAGAAAAACAAATACAATATGCTAACACATATATATGGAATCTAAAAAAAAAGGTTCTGAAGAACCTAGGGGCAGGACAGAAATAAAGACCCAAGTGTAGAGAATGGACTTGAGGACACGGGGAAGGGGAAGGGGAAGCTGGGACAATGTGAGAGAGTGGCATTGACATATATACACTACCAAATGTAAAATAGATAGCTAGTGGGAAGCAGCCACATAGCACAGGGAGATCAGCTCTGTGCTTTGTGACCACCTAGAGGGGTGGGATAGGGAGGGTGGGAGGGAGACGCAAGAGGGAGGGGATATCGGGATATGTGTATACATATAGATGATTCACTTTGTTATACAGCAGAAATTATCACAACATTGTAAAGCAATTATACTCCAATAGAGATGTTTTTTAAAAAAAAAAAAGAATGAACTACCAGCATACATAATGATGAGTGAAAGAAGCCAGAAGCAAAAGAGTACATACTATAGGATTCCATTGATATTAAGTTCAAGAACAGGCAAACAAATCTATGGTTACACTGTGCAAGGGAATAATAGCAAACGAAGTAAAGTTCCAAGCAAAATAAAATAAACTGTTTGAGAAAGATATGTTAGCATTATTCACTACAATTATATTTCTGACCTTTTTCTCTTATCCTTCCAGTTTTGCCTTTTAGATTTTGATGCTTGTCTACCATATTTGGTAAATGATTCTTTCAAGGCAGATATCTTCACTGAACCAAAATAATCTTCCAGTGACTTTGCTTTTGTTATATGTTTGTTACATTTCAGAAGACTGGGTCTTGTTTTTTGACCCAGTTTAAGGGTCACGTCTGTTATATGACAGTTAACCATTTTATGTTTGCTATTATAAAGTAAATGTTTGGCCTTATTTTCTTACTTCCCTCAGCATACTATGTATTTTCTTTACTTTAAATGCTTTCATGTTATTCCCTTGGTTTGCTCTTTCTAAATAACATTGATTTAAAAAGGTAAAAACTCTCTATGGTGCAAACAGAAAATATGCATTTTTTTCAGGCATCCCCACATCAGTTGCACATTAGGTCTACAAGGGAGCCATGAATAAGTTTCCCAAAGATGGAAAATGTGAAGATCACATGTCCTGACTAGGACAAAACTAAACTGGAAATGAATAACAACAATAAAAGAAAACAAAAAATTCAACTACATGGCACTGAAAAAGATGAATCAAAAAGGTCTTTAAATCTGCAATCACAGAAACTCTAGAAAACAACAAAAAATTAAGACGTCAAATATCAAAATTTTAGAACTAGCCAGAAAAAAATGAGGGGAATGATAAATATATCCGAAGTTGGTTCTTTACAAATCCACAAGTCCTCAGCTCCTTAAGTAATGGGTGAAGTGAAGAGAGAGCATGGACTTACATATTAAGAAGAAGAGGGAAGTAATCACACAGAAAATTAAATGAATTAAAGGAGACCATTCGTGAAAACTGAATAAATGGGAAGATTTTTAAAACTACCAATTACCTAAACTAGGTGAAGGAGACATTTAAAAGCCTAAGCAAGGCAATAATGGGAAAAATTCAGGCCCAAGAAGTTTCATAGGAACAATTTAAATAATATGAGTCATGGATTTAACATCACCTTGAATAAAAAGAAAGGAGAGAAGTCTTTTTTTAGTAAAGCTAGCATAATGCTGATATCAAAACCTGACAACATATAACATAAAGAAAACCACAACATAATATCACTTATAAATATGAATGCAGAATCATACATTAAATATTTACAAGCAGAATAAGGAAGTATGCTAAATGAATAAGAACAGAGTGACAAAGTGAGATCTTTGCAAGAATGCAAGGAAATCTATTGATATAATTCATCAGAGGTAAATGTTTAAAAGAAAAACCCATCTGATCATCTAATTATATGCTAAAAGAGTATTTAATAAAAATTAAGTACATTCCTGTTTTTCAAAAGAGCAAAAAGTTTGACCTATACTTTCCAAGCATTATCAACATACACACAGAAAAGTTGGCAAAAGGTGAAACATGCAATTCACGGTAAAATAAATAGATATGGTTAATAAGCATATGAAAATGCTATCAATTTCAGTGATAATAAACGCAAAAGAACTCAACTATGAAATCTTCATCAGTTTGGCCATGTCATTCAAGGTGGGCCATGTCATTCAGGGTGGGCCTTGAAGGCCTGAATCAAAGGCTCTCCATGTCATGTCTGTAGCAGGTGGGCATCTGTCTTCTCTAAGACAGGTCTCTCTACCGCATGGGTCCCTCACTCGAGAGGCCCACCTGTCCCGGTACAGGTGAGCTCCTTGAGGGCAGAGACCCCTTTTCCCCCTCCACAGGGTCCCTGAAGCTCCCGATTTAAAGCAGTTGCTCAGAAATGTTCCCTTTGACTGGAGTCGTTAAATCTCCCAGTGAAGAAAGTCAAATGTTTAAACAAATGGAAAACAGGTGTCTCCTGGCAAGAGCCCATAAACTGCACTGGGGACAACTAGGTTGGGCTTCCCAGTGAGCACCTAAGTTATCACCTTGCCTCTTCTATCGAGATTTCTGAATAATACCTGCAAATTATCAGCACTACTGGGAAGCTGCTGGGAAAAATCAAGGTTGACTTTTCTGAGCTTGTCTTCCCTTCAGAGCCCCCTCTCGGCATGTGGGGAATGGGTCTCACCTGGCTCATGGTGGCTTTCAGCATCTCCAGGAGCAGCAGGGCACCTTCAGTGCACAGCCCAGCCCGGAGGACTTCTTCCCTGTGGTGTTTATGCAAGAGCCACTGAAGCATGGCATCCAGGCTGTCCTGAAAGAGGAGGCAAGGGATGTAAAGAGACCTGTGGCTACGCAGCAAGGGGCCCGGCTTTCCAGCCAGCACACGGCATTTCCCAGGGGCCCCAGTAACAGCCCAGGTGGCTGGCCCATTCAGGGAGCTTCAGCCCACTAACGGGGTATAAGGGAAATGCACACCTCCAAGATGGAGCTGAAGACCCACCAGCAACTTGTATCGAAATTTAGTTCTTTTGGTCTGACATCACAAATACTCAATCTCCCAATCAATTTTAATGAATTTTTATAAATGAGATTATAGAAAATGTGACAAATTCAAAGGCTTTAGGGCAACTGCAGAGTGCAACAGAGAGAACATGGGGTTGACAAGCACGATGATCTGGCTTTGCCTCTTTAAAAACTGGGCTTACACAAGCTATTCAGCCTCTTGGCAGTTCAGTTTCCTTCTCTGTGTAATGAAAATTACATTATCTGCCCCATGGGATTGCTATAAATATCAAGGAAAATAAAATATGTAAAACATCTATCACGGGTCCTGACATTCAGCAAATGTTTGTTTCCTGCAATACAGTCTTGGAAAAATAAAAATATAGGGTTTTGATTAACTTAGCACAGCATATTAAGAACTTTATTTTGAAGTGTGATCTCTAATACTAGCAGCATATACCAAGATTGAGATAGGTCAAATATAAGGGTGTACGAGAGGTGAATTTTTCAGCCCTCTGTTTGCAAAGAGGTGCCCCTCCACCCATGTCAATTCAGTGCAGTTTAACTCAACTCTATCAAGAGCAAAGACCAATTTCTGAGTCTGTCTGTCAGGTGCCCAGGAAGGTGAGTAAGAGGCGGGGTGTATTTTTGAGGTGCTCGGTATCTAAGGAGAGAAGCAGATGTAAATGTGCTGGTGCCATATGAGGCAAGGGCGAATGCATGATGAGGCCCAAAGAGGAATGGTTCCTGTTGTCTAGGGAGTCTAAGCAGGAGGTGGCATCTGAGCTGAGAATTGAGGGAAGACACCGTTCCAGGCAGGTGATGGCGGGAGAAAGGGCTCATTAAAGGCCCAGGGCAGGCAAGGACAAAGCAGCTGGTCTTACTGGGGAGGTGACTCAGGAGGATCACAGCACAAAGGGCCATCGAGAAAGGAAGCTGGGCTGGGCAGACAAGTGAGACGTCCGATCAGGAAGGGTCTGATGCTGGCTGGGGGACTCTGAACGTGATCCCACAGGAACAGGAGCCAGTGAAGCCTTGGATTTGGTTCAGGTCGGTGAGTTAGTGAACGAGAGGCTGGTGAGAGGGTATATACAGTGGGTGTAGACTCCTCTTTGGAGAAAATTGGCCAAGGAAAAATAGGAGAGTGATAAACAGGACAGGAGCTGGTCAAGAGTGTGAGTCAAGGGGGCAGCTTCTGGTTTTAGGTGGGACATAATTTATCATACTTACGGTCTATGAGGCAAGAGTCAGTAGAAAGACATGCCGAAAATACAGAAGAAGGGATAATAAGGGGTGAGGTCACTCGGGAAAGGAGTGGAAGGAATCCAGACCAGCCCTGAATAGCTGCTCTTCCAGCAACAGTGGAGAGAAGGTGATCAAGAGGGTCATGGAATATACAAGTGGTGGAGGGTGGGGTCCTGAGGCAGTGCCCCCTTCATGGGGGCCTCTACTCCTACCATGACATAAGTCATCTGAGCAAAGGGCGTCTGCGGGCCAGAAGGCTCGGGCATGTAAGGGTCACGCTAGAGCGCAGGGGAATAGCAGGGGCATTACTAAGGTAAAGGGACATGTTTCTTTGGAGGACATAAACTGAGGTTCTATGTCTGTTATGGGAGCAATTCACCTCCCCATGTTGCCCCCGCCATCGTGTGATTTCTCTAGCTGTGCCCAGAAGGAGAAAGACTTCAAAGAGGAACTGATAAAAACAGAGACCTGCTGGGAGGGACATGAGAGGCAGAGGCTGAAGAAGTGAAGGGTATTTGAAAAGGTAGCCAGGGGTGGGGACTGCTAGGGAAGGAAGTGGGTCAGGACGAAAGCTGGAAAACATGGAGGAAGTGGGGGGAGTCTTAGGGACCTGCCTTGGTCATACAGAATCAGAAAGCCAAGTGTGTCACTCCATCCCAGGAACCCCAAGAACCTACTTTGGGCCCGTCCATCAGCTCTGTAAGTGGTGTTTGTAGGAAGAAGGTGGACACGATGAGGTAGACTTCCGGAATATGAACATGGTGGGCCAGAAAGTCACTCAAGACTTGGAACCCAGGAAGCAGGCAGGGGCTCTGGTCAGGCGTGGGAGGGTGGCTCTTCAGGTTATCTATTATCAGGGAGAGGGGCACAAAATCCAACTGAGAAAAATTGCTGTTGCTTCTGGTCAAGGTGGGTGCAGAAAGGAATCCCCTACCACCCACCCATCCCACAGAGATGCCAGATGGAAATATATGTCATACATACTGGAGCACAAGAAAGTGCTCAACAAGAATTTTTCCTATTCCTGACATGCTCATTCATTCGTTCAAAATCAGATGCTTATTTGGTGCCTACCACCTTAGAGGCAACAAGACCTCTTTGTATTACGCAATAAGAACATAGTGTTTTGACAAAATATACAGAACCCCAGGCCTTTATCAACTACTTACAATGTGGTGGGAGGGACAGACTTTACAGAATTAAATACCTAGGTAAATATGTATAAACGATGATAAGCACTATAAAAAAAAAGAGAGAGTATAACAGAGGTGCCCTAATCCATACGGGACTTTCCTAGAGGAAGTAACATTTGAATCAAGAACTGAAGGATGAATCCCCATCAAACAGGAGAGCCATGCTGGTACTGAGGGTGGGGGAAGCATCCCAGGAAGAGGGAAAGAGCTAAGGAGGCTTTGAGGAACGGGAAGAAACCCCCAGCATCTGAAGAGCAGTGAGGCCATGGTGGGATCCTAAAGAGGAAGTCAGAGGGGGCTGGGGCTGATGGGAGGGAAGGGGTCAGGGTCAAGGTGATCCTACAGCACAGAGCTGTGAAAGCCCCAAGCAAGTCCTGGCAGGTCCTCACTCACAGACCACAGGAGGCACCCTGCCTCCTGGAGATGACCACACACTCACCCATCATGATGTCCACGCCCTCAGAGCTGCGTTCCACCCAGGACCCCGCAGACAGGCCATCTTTAAATCGCCCACGGAGGGAGGGGTTTGACAAAAAGTGCAGCAGCAGCTTCAATCCCAGCACCACTGTGCTGGGGTGCACATGGCCCTGCACGAACAGCAGGAACCAATCGGGCCCCAGGTTCAGAAACACCTCTTCCTTTGTCCTGCGGGGGGAAGGGGGTCAATAAATGCTAAAATTACCTCTCAGCCCATAAGCAAAGGACATGTCCAGAAAATTCAAATAACGTTCAGCTTCACTAGTCACCTAGAAAGGGCGAGTTAAGTTTAATATCTGGATATCACTTAGCAAAGTACATGCTACATTTTAAAAGATCGGTAAAATAAAATGCTGGCAAGGTTGCTGTGAAATAGATGAATTTGCCTGTTAATGGCTGAAGTGTAAGTTGGCCAAAGCTTTTGAAAGCAGTTGGAAACTATGTACCAATAGCTGTAAAAATATGCAGGCCCTTTGATAGCCCTACTCACTAATATTCCTGCCTACACAGTGTCTGAATGGCCACCCATCTAATTACATCAATGCAGTCACATAAAACACATAATGGTTACTGAACTCCCTTTTTAAACACATTGTTCAAAACTAATCTAAATGGAATAGTCCAATATTTATGCACCTTTATTGGCTTAGACAAAAAAAATACATGTTTAACTGTCACTTTCAAAAATGAATTTTAAAACGATGAGTCTAGAGAATACAGACTTGCTAGAGGGAGAGGGAGGGCAGGGAGATGGGAAGCCAATCCTCAGGGGCAATGGTTCAGCAAAGGCCTCAGCCCCGTGCGAGCCAGGGAGGGATCCATCCTGGCTGGGCAGAGTTCTCAGCACGTGCTGCCAGATGAGGCATGGTGAGGGCGTGGCCACTAGGACTAGGAGTCAAGAGACCATCTTCTCTTCTAGTCATGTCTCCGTTTGCTAATTGGATGGCTTTGGCAGAGCTCTTGATGAGCTCTGGTCATCTTCCTTCATTATGATGATGAGGAGGAGGAGGATGCTGGTGGTAGTGATGATGATGGTAATGAGAATGGTGGTGGTGATGGTGATGGTGGTTAGCTGATGGAGTATTTATAGTATCCCAGGCACCATGTTCAGAGCTATCCACATATTCATTTCCATCTACGGCAGCTACTACCTTAATCCTCATAGAGATGAGTAGAAGAGAGGCATAGAGGGCAGGCTTAGGTAACCTCCCCGAGGTGCCTGGGGGACAGAGCTGGCATTTGAACCCTGGAGGTCTAGCTGTCAGAGCCCAGGTGCTTAAGCACTACACTACATTCCTTTTCAAAAAAGTGAAAAGGTATCTTCCAGTTCTACCATGCTTTGATTTTAGACACGTAAAGACTTTTGAAGCACTATCTGAAAGGCCGTTTTACTGAGGGGTAACTCCCCACCCTGATTCTTCCCTGCCCCAAACACACATACACACTAAAATGTCAACTCAGTGAGAGTAATAAGGATCCAGACTGTCCTACTCAGCACTGCGTTTTCAGAGGGAGGAACGGCGTCTGGCACACAGGAGGCACTCAACAAACAGTTCTTGAATTAATGACTCCAGAGCTCAGATAAAGCAGGCAGTCGGAGAGAGTTAATGGAATTTTATGATTACGCTTTGTTTTTGAAAGTTAACTGAAGGCAGATACTTCTTTTTCCAACTTGGAAAAATAACTAAATGACAGTAAATAGCAGAAGAATTTGGCAAACCTTTTCCTTGATAGATGTTATTTAGGCTAACCATTTCTCCATTCTATTGTCTGCCAAGTATAGGACATCAAAATCGGTAATTATCACAACTGCCAAAACAATAACAATGACACTATAGCAATGGTGACAAAAAGCGTTTATTGTAATTACACCAAATCTGTTTTGAGTTACTCATGCCCATTTAACATTTGCATCAGAATATCTTAGGGCAAGGTCTGCATTATTGGGTGGAGAAAATATAATTTTCTTTCTGACTAGTGCAGAAAACCAACTCAGAGATGCTAAACGTTTCATTAAGAAAAGGTTTTAATACGCACTCTGTATGAAGCAGCCTCATGCCAAATCACTCTTTCTGGAGCTACTTACTCAGAGGACAGATGAAGTCGGGAAGAAGATATTACACTGAGCAGCATCTCCAGCAACTGGTTTCTGAGCCAGATTGTCTTTCCAGATGTTTGACTTCCAGCTACAAAAAAGAAAATTCAGATTTGAGAAAAAACAGATGTAAAGAGACATAATATTTGCTGCAGTAAGCAATCGTATTCACCAAATGCTTAGTTCTCCCAGGAGTTGAGACATGGATGGGACTTGAAATTTTGGCTTTCAGTTCTAGATTTCCAGGCAATGCTTAAAAAGAATTTCAGGAAATGTTCCTAAAGTTCCCTTTAACTAGAGATGTTTTTGATGCTCCCCAATCACCACCCCTCACCAAAAAAAAAAAAAATCCTAAAAATGATAAGGTCAAATTCTCCTTCCAGTAGAGGAATTTTTTAAATTATCATAGGCTGCAACACTTCCTGAGCACCTACTACATGCTGGGCATTATGCAAGGCACTGGGGGCAAAGAAGTGAAGATTGTGATCCTTGATCTGAGTTCCTGCTCTCAATCTGTTTCTAGGCTAGACCTCTGGCATGTCTATGTTGCACTAAAATTAGAGCTTGAATTGTAGCAAGAGGTATATGGTTCCAACGGAAGAAGAAACTTTACTTCTGAAGTGTTATTATAACCCTGAAGGCCATGTAAATATTGTCTTAATAGAAGATGTTTAGTGAGATAAAAGTTTTAGCATGGAGTCCCTATGAGAAGAAGGGTTGACGAAACAGTACACTGTTGTCTCATTATCCATTCATTTTACCCCTTGGTTAGCCAGTTATTTTACCACCAATTTGGGGCACACCCACCATGCTGTAGAAATAGAACTGATGAGGCAGCTTGGAGAACCGGAGTCAGAGTCCCCTCTATTTGGATTCTGGCCCCATCTCTCATTAAGGTCCTAATGTCTCTGAGCCTCCGTTTTCTCATCTGTAAAATGGGAATAATAATTCCTACTTTTCAGGCTTGATCTAAGGATAAGAGATAATTTATCTGGATTGAGTAACACTATCTAAGAGAATCTTTTGCGGTAAAAGTGTTCTCTATCTGTCCTGTCCAGTGCAGTAACCACTGGCCTCACGTGATTATCAAGCACTTGGGACAAGGCTAGTGTGACTGATGAACTGAATTTTTAATTGCATTTCATTTCGATTAATTAGAATTTAAATTTAAATGGCCACGTGCAGCCAGAGGCTCCCATCTTGGACACAGCAGATCCAGAGGGCCCAGGGCAAAGCAGTCAGTAGTTGTCCCCCTCACATTTGCCCTAGCAGAGGGAATTTGGAACACGATGTAGCTGCGGTTCTGAGTCTGGTTAGGGAGAGAGAGACTCAAAGAAACAAATCACAGACCTTTGCATGAGATTAAACGCAAGGGCTCTAGAAGCAAAGAAGAGATGACTTAACCTGGCTTGTGGGACTGGGAACGGCTGGTCTAGCAGGGTGAGATGGGGTGGGGGCGGGGCAAGGGAGGCATTCCTGCAGAGCGAACAACACCTGCAGAGCATGGATGGACGGGCGGACCGTCACACATTAGGACGTGTACGTGCTTCAGAGTGTTGAAGCTGGGGCTCATCAGGGGAGCAAGGCAAGGGCTGGGGCATGAAGGCTCCCACCTGCTGGTCTACAGGGAACTGAGCATTATCCTGGAGGCCTTGGAAGCCATTCCAGGTTGTGAAGGAAGCACATACAATTTGCGTTTATTCGTGACCATAATCATAGAGCTGTGACCTCATAAGCCACCGTGTGGGAACAACAGCTCGGCTGTGGGTGCCTTCCCCCTCCTCCCCCTCAGCCTTGCATGCACAATGGCCCCACAGCATGTTCCTCTCAGGGCCGTCATGGGGGTCGTCTTGCTGCCTTCAGGCTGGCGTCTGGGAAAGGTCTTCTCACCAGGCACGGAGGGGTCCGGGGCTCCATCCACGCAGATCTGCCTCTCGTTCACCGATGAAGGCTTGAGGGTGTACACAACAAACAGCCCGATTCTTAAGACAGAAAGAGAAGGACACGCTCAAATGTGGGCTCAGCCCGTCTCCTAAACACACCTGAAGGTTTTCTACAGTGATCCACCTAAATGCGGCTTCAAGGGAGGGTTTGAGGGGAATCGTGTTATTCTGTGATCAATGGGATATTTCCAAAGACTTCTCAGATCTGTCAGGATTCATCAGAGCAGCTAGCTCTGGCTCTGCCAGCTCAACAGAACGAACAGTGATGAGGACAGAAAAGGTGAAATGTCCTGCCAGAGGGCACTATCCTTTGGGAAGTCTGCAAAAGGCAGGCATGTTGGGTTGTTGGTCGGTGAGGATGCCTGTGCTCACGGAATTTCTGGAGTTCTTGGCACACGAGGTGTGTCTGAGCACCAGGGAGCAGTGAACACACAGCCCTGCTGGGGAGTCTAGCAGACCCACCCCTTTTTTCAGCTCTCCGCCCTGAACAGAGAAGCTCCTAGGAGGTTCCAAGGAAATAGAACCTGCTGCTGCATTGAAGGGCCAGTGCTGCTGGGCTGAGCACGGTCAGGGGAGAGCTGGCGCCTACGTTCCCTCATTAAACAGCCCCGAGGCTCTGCCCTTCCCCCTGGGGACCTGGCGCAGTACCTGTGCAAGTCCTGGAGGCTGAAGTGGCCCCTCAGCTGACAGCCCAGGATGGCAATGATGGTGGGTATCTTGGAGGGGGCGAGGCCTGGCTCGTTGAAGAGGAAGATGAGCTTGGGAATAAGCCGCGCCTGGTGAGCAACTTCAGCATTCCGGGGTCCTTCCCTGGCGAGCCCAGGAGAGAGGCAGTAAAAGCTTTTACTGGAATGAACCAAATTTGCTATGTTTCTGCTAAAAGGTTCCACAGGCTGGGCTTGCTCCGTGGCCCTCTGACTGCAATGCGCTCTTGGCAACTCGTCAAAACGCTGTCAGACACCCATCGAATACGCGTCTGCCCAGTGCCAGAGTCGCTGGAGATGAGCCTCCCGGTGCCCTTCCACCCCTCCACCCCCTCACGCCCCCACCCCTGAAAACTGCCTTCAAAGACAACCCCAGCTATTGACTTTTAAATTCCAAGCCTCAGGGAAAACTAATGCTGGCCTCAGAAAACTCAGAACAAAGAGAGCAGACTGGAGTGTGACCACGGAGCACTTCCCAATAGCCGGAGCGCGGGCCTCCGCGAGCCCATCTGGGTGCGCGTCTTCCTGCCCACCCCAAACCACAAAGTGGATGAACACGCCGCTGAGAGTCAAAGGGGGAGAGAGACAGAATTCAAGCCTCTGCACTCCCTCATTAGGACAATCGCGAATACAATTTCCAGTAAATTCTACTCCCCCAAAGAAAACAGCTTCCAGGGTGAGTGTCCGTCTCTTAGAAAACAACAAGTACAGAAAGAAAGTGGAAAGTGAGAAAGAAAATAAAGGTGGAGGAGAATGAGGCTGGGTGGACTGCTCCTTCTTGAACTGTCTTTTCAGTACTACTGTGTTGAATTCTGCCGAGTGCCACATCTCTGATACACAAAAGAGGCAGAACCAGCGCAGTCCTGCGTGTGACTTGCTCTCATGGGCTCAATGGGAAGATGTGCATTCATCACCTATGAGACCCCACTGTCCTCTGTGCTCTTTCGAATCACAGCACTGAGTAGCCTGCTCTTCTGCATTCCTCCGCCACAGGGCTATGCCTTGTGCTTCTCTGAACTTCTAGCACTGAGAACTGGTATGGAATGGAGTGCGTTTATAATAGATAGGCCATCATGAACGGCTGCATGAAAAGATGGCGGCAAATACATTCAAAACACCGAGGTCCTGATGATCTCCAGAAGAGCTGACACGTGAGGAGGCAGGTGGGGGTGTGTGTGAACAGCTTTATTTGTGAGGAAGGAGGTGGATTGATAGGCTGGCACCCCTGCCTCCCTTCTCCCATATTCTCATCCCTGGTTTTCCTTGGGAATTACCTCTTCCTAACTCCCCTCCACCCGCTCCAGAGGGGAAGTCATGCTGCCTGGCCACGTGACCCAAGATGGCCCCGTGAGACTCCATCCTATTGCTAGGACTATCGAGTGAAAAAGAAGCCCTGTCTGCCGACTGTGCTGGGCAGAGGACATGCTGTGAGGATGCCCAGCCAGAATGAAGTTAGCACAGAAGAAAGCACAGATGAGACCAGGGACAGATCTCAGATAAAGTAATATGAGCATCACCCAGACAACATGTGAAGCTCTGCCTCTGTCAATTGTATGAGCCAATGAATTTCCCCTTTCTCCACCTTCCTTTTTTCCCTCCCTTTCTTCCTTCCTTAAGTTGGTTTGAGTCGTATTTCTGCCACTTGCAATCAAAAGAGCCCTGACTAATTCAAAAAGTGACACTCAGTGTGATGGTATTTGGAGGTGGGGCTTTTGAGAGATGCTTAGGTTATGAGAGTGGAGCCCTCATGAATGGGACTAGCACCCTTATAAAAGAGACCCAGAGAGTTCCCTCACCCCTTCTGCCATGTGAGGTTGTAGTGAGAAGACAGCCAACTATGAACCAGGAAGTAGGTCCCCACCAGACGCTGAATCTGCCAGAGCCTTGGCCTTAGACTTCCAGCCTTCAGAACTGTGAGAAATCAATTTCTGCCATTTGTAAGCCACCCAGTCTACGGTATTCTCATTATAGCAGCTGTGCAGACTAAGACAGACATGCTACCACCTGGGGACCCAGTGCTCTGGGAGGGGAGAAGGGAACCCCCCCTTGCTGAACCACCGGCTGTCCTGTCCTCTCAGTCCCTGTTCTTGGCATGAAGCCTTTGACTGTACCCCCAGGCTGCCAAAGCCCAGCTTACCTTGGTGATTGAAGGATTTCCACAAGATGGGAAAAGAGGGAGAGCTCCAAGTTGTCCGCAGCATTCATCCAGAGCTAGAAGACAGAACGAACACAGTGAAACCAAGGTGTGTGGAGAGAAGGGTTTCCAGGCAACGTGAGTAGGTACGGTGCTGGGCGTGGTCTCCTCTGACTTGGAATCACTAACACAGCTTCCCAGCTCTGGAATCAGACTAGCTCTCCTGACAGCTAGAAAGTAGAGGGCACCTCCCCCAGGGGCAAGTGCAAACACCATTCCTATCGTCCCCATCTCTGCTGCTCTCTGGAGCTTCACTGTGGGTCTAGATTCTAACCAAGGACACCTGCACTAACCATCTCCTACGTGTGTCCCACCCTGGGCCCTGCAACCTGCTGTGTCCACACACCAAACAACATCTCATTTTCACTGGATCCTACAAGGCAAATACCAGTGCTCCCAATTCAGAGATGTGAAAAGACAGGCTGAGACAGACCACTGAGTGACAGGTACCTCACCACCCGCAAGTGATAGGACTGGAATTAGAAGCTGAGTCCCACCTCTCAGGTTTTATGCTGTAGCAACTTGTGCATGCAGTTTCTTCAGTTCCCCTATCTACAGAACCTGCAGCACAGCCCATGTTCCCATCTCCTGTAAACAGAACTGTAAGTGACATGCAGGTGTGAAATGCACTGAGATTCTGAGAGTGAACTTTATCACTCGGGTTGCTTTCTTCATTGTAAACAAAATGCAGCTGCTCCCCATCCTTCTGGGGCAGAGGTGATGGTGTGCCTTCATGCCTCATTTCTACTTCCCTTTAGAGAGCTCTACTATTTCTCATCTAAATGCTGACATTTCCTAAGGCCCGGAATCTATAAGGTTCAGATGTAGGATTATAAGAGTGCACTCATACAGCAGCAAAAAGAGCTCACACTTACAAATGATACCATTTGCCTGCGGCAAGAAGCATCATACAAAGTCCTAAAACAATATCATCATCTGCATTTAGTAGGTAAGAACAGTGAGGCTCAGAGAGACTGAGTAACTTGTCTGGTGCCCCACTGTTTTTAATTGGCAGAGACTGACTTCAAAGCCTGGGCAGTCTGACCATGAAGCCCAGTCTCTTGCCTCCTCTCTGTGTTCCCCTACAGGCATCTCCTGCAGACAGTGACCCAGAGGGTCAATAATCAACCTCACTTGAACCAAGCCGGTGGCCATGGCGCCATCCTTTTACTTACTGGGGAAAACAGAAGAGTCTCAGCGGACATAAGTTTATCAGGAAGGCAGAGACTGTCCCTCCCCAATCCCCAGGGCCCAGCATCACACGTGCCATGTAGTGGGCACTTAATAAGGATCCATGACATTTTTTAAAAGAGTGAATGCAAAGTAAACCAAAGTAAGCTAAGTGGATTACTCTTACGCCAGAAACAGGCTGACAGACTTCCAGCTCCCGTAAGCACGGCCCCTGCCGAGGACACACAGAGGTGGGGCAGCTGCATCTAAGAGAGCTGCTGTGGGAGGGAGGCAGGGGTAGCCAGACGTGGCATCCCAACATACTCGAGAGGGTGCCAAGAGCTTTGCATGCTTGGAATTCATTCGTTCATTCACGAAGGCAATCATGAGCAACTGATACAACAGGCTCTGTGTCGGGAGCTGGAAGAGCTGAGAAAGTAAGACAGGAACCCTGCGGTACCCCTTACCCTTCCCACGAAACAATACCCCTCCCCCCGTTCCCTTTTCCAGAGCTTTAGAACAATAAGAAGTTGCCACAGCACATTTGAGGCTGCCTAGCTGTTTTAGAAATTATTTTATATAATACCAACTGTCTGAATTTTGGGAAACATGCATAATGAATCCTGCGGTTGTCATCCTGTGTCACATAACCCCTGTACGAGAGACTGCATTGAGATGTCTGGCTTAAATTTGTTCGAATATCAAATTCTGTTCTCTCCCCACCCCTGGGACCACCTCACTCTCAGAAAGAGGTGGCCTCTTCTGAGACCACAAGCCTAAGACACGCATGACTTCGACTTCCTGTCCCTTCCAGCTTCTCAACTTCCTGTCCCTCCCTGCCGCACACCCAGCATCAAGGATCACGCACCTGCTCCCGTAACCCACTCTCTGGTCTCCAAACCCTCCCTTTCCTTGAAGGACTTGTCCTGTCAGTTTGATTCTCACACTGGTATTTTAACCACCCCTTTTTCACTGCTCAAGTCTCCTATCTAAGTTCTGAAACGCTCCTCCATCTACTTTCTTCTCTCTCTTTTTCTTCTTCAAAAGCCCACTGACTGTCTCCTTCCCGCCTCCTCCCTGCTCTTCACCTCATGTCTGACCCCACCATTTACTCTTCACTGGGCCCGTCAGTGACCTCCAAACACAACCCACACAGCCCTGCCCTTACTTCACCTGATGTAGGCAGACACTGGGGAAACTCTTCTTCTTTTTGAAATTCTCTCCTCCCGATCTTTTAAAAATTTTATTTCATTTCATTTTGTTTTAGTGTGGTTTTTTAGCATCTTGTTGCTTGTTTTTATTGGTTGCCTATTTTCTTAACCGCAGTGAAAAAGCACTGGCTCAGCTGAGGGCTAAGTTTATTCAGGGAGGAACAGGCAGTCGGAGCCTGGTGGCTTCCTGCTTGGGTCATTCCTGGGCTGGGCTGATGGCAACGATGTGGAGCCAAGCTGCCCGAGCACGGCCGCAGCATTTCGGAAGGGGCAGCAGTGCTGCCAAGGCATGCCGTCTTGTTTACCAGGGTGGTAAAGCCATTTGTGCGTATCTGCTTCCCCGTTGTGCACAGGAAGCCCGTATCGCAGGCCTCGCTGGATTCCCCCACAAGCCTTGCATCTATCTGCAGATCCAGGTTTGGGTGTTCATCCTGGCCTGGTCCAATTAGATAGTATTTCATTTAGGTTTTTTGTAGCTTTTATTTATGAGTAAGATTGACCTGTACTTTTTCATTTCCCATACTATCCTTTTTTGGTTCTGGTATCAAGATTAGCTCATGAAAGAAGCTGGGAGAAATAATACCTACACTATGATCATGACTATGATTTTTAAAAAATACATATATTATGCATAGAAAGTACAAAAAAAGGGATGCATTCAAAGTTAACAACAGTCATCTGGGTCTCAGAAAGAGGAGTTTTTCTTCCATTTTTCTGTAGTTTAAAATATTCTATAACAAGCACATATTATTTTTTAATTAAAATAAACAGTTTTTAAAATACTTCCATGGACTGCAGTGTGTACCGGCTAAAGTGTGCGCCCTGCAGCTTACCATCCCCCGCTGTCTTCTCTCCCTCCCCCTCCAGCCTCACCTCTACCTGCAACAGCATCCCCACAGGTGCCCCAAGCCCCCTGCTCTCAAATCCCCATGGTTGCTCTCACCCCCACACGTGAGCAAATAGCACCCACTCCACCTGAAAGATTCCCCCATTGAACACATTCTGTCAAACTCAGCCCCAGAGCCCGGATCTGCTGAGCTGACTGTCCTCTCCTTCCACTCCCCAGATGCCCTGTGCCTCCCTCACCGGCACCCAGCACACTGTAGCACCACCTCTGTCGTGTCCTGGGCCCCACTGTTGCGTGCAGGGCCTCATCATGGTTATCACCATGTCTCCAGAACACACCAGCACCCGACCCTAGTAGGCACTCAGCAAACAATGCTTCGGGAATGGATCTCTCCACCCAAAGGTCTGTGCAGGACTCCTCACTCAGCCTCAGGTGTGCCCTCAGCATCTCTCACTCATCCCTTTAAAGGAACATTTATAACCAGCAAGGCACCATCCAAAGGAACTGGTATGTTTTAAAATCCTTCTTATATATGGAAGCTTACACTTTTAAAATCCTTTTCCAGATACTATCTGATTTGGCTCCCACTCCAGCCTGTGAGGGAGAGGAGATGGTCTCCCTTTCACACATGAGAAGACTGAAACTCAGAGAAGTCAAGAGACGTGCCCGAGGCCACACAGCCCATTGGTGGTAGGAGTTAATTATTAAACAAGGCCTCTGAAATCCAAAGCCCTGTCAGTTTTCTCTCTCACTACCATCTTGACCATCAAGGAAGCTGACCTGCTGGGTTTAGAGAAAGCTCCAGGCTTTCTGTACCATCACACACCTGTTCCTTTAGGGCTAGTGACCAGTCTCCAGTTTACCTCGAAATTGCAGAGGATGTGCTGGAAGACACCAATGTTGGTGATAGCAGAGGACCCAAAGCCCAGTTCTGCGGTGCCGGCAACAGACAGGATCAGCTGAAAAATGCGATGGTTTAGGAAAGAGGTCTTTTTCCTCAGGAGAAACGCCATTATCTGCAAAGGTTAAAACACAAAGCAGTTTACTCATGAATGCATCGTCACCACTCTTTCTCCCTCACCCACTTGTTCCTACCAGCACCTTTGGTCAGCCCAGTCTGAAAGCGCTCCGCTCTCTCGTGCTACCTCTTCCATTCCCTTGTTATCAGAAGGAAAACATATACCAACTTCTGGGCTGCTTCCCCACCAGTGTCTGCTTTTCTGTACTTGAGGCTTCACCTCTCACTGTGGGCCCCCGGCTCCTTCCTGAATCTTACACATTTCCAGAATGCCACCTTCTCCTGGTTTCTTTCTACATTTCTGAGTATTCTTCTCATTTTCCTTTACTGAATCCTACATTCATACCCATCCTACAGATGTTGCTATATCACTAGGAAGCCACCACTGGCCCACGAACCCAGTTACATCAGCTTCACTTCAGGCTGCTGCCAACAGACGTGCCATTCTGCTGTGCCAGGCCCTGGGAAACTGGCAACACGCAAGCATCCATACCGAGTTGGAGGCACTGGGATCCCAGTGGCCCACGCTCATCTCAGAGACTAATGAGATGGACCTCACCTAGCCTCATGTCTCTGTTGACCTCAGTCACACAAAAGTCAGGCTGACCCGCCATCCACTTGCATCTGGGTTCTCACCAACTTCATCTGGATTCTCAGCTCAGCTCATCCACAGCTCAATTCCCTACGCCTGTATCTGACACAGTCCACCCTTCTCCCTGTCCTCTCAGACACACTCTTCCAGTGTGTCATTAGGAAGTCTCACTTGTTGTTATGAACTGAATGTCTGTTCCTCCCCAAATTCACATTTTGAAACCCTATTCCCCAATATGATGCTATTTGGAGACAGGTCTTTTGGGATATAATTAGCATTAGATGAGGTTATGAGGGTGGAGCCCTCACAGATGGGATTAGTGCCCTTATAAGAGCACAAGGGAGCTTTCTTCCTCTCTCTGCTCTGCCATGTGAGGATACAATGAGAAGTTGGCCATCTGCAATCCGGAAGGGAGTCCTCACTCGACCTGACCATGCTGGCACCCTGATCGTGGACTTCCCAGTCTCCAGAACTGTGAGATAATTAATTTCTGTTGTTTATAAGCCATCCAGTCTATAGTATTCTGTCATAGCAGCCCAAACTGACTGAGACAATTGTAATCAGAAAATAATATCTTTTCAGACTGTTCCAGTCACTTCTTCAGCATATCCCCACTCCCCAACCAGGACATAATTAGGATGGCTGAAAGCTGCTTGAGAAAAGTCACTCAGGCTGACTGGTTTCACTTTACATTAATAGTGTCAAATGTCAAATTAGTACTCAATTTGGCCTGGCAGTCCAACTCTTTTTTTAGTAAGCTGGCTTTCCTCATCCTAAAGATGATGATCTCATCTCTTCTCCTCTCTCCTTCAGCCTCCCAACCCTCCACCACCTGCCTCAGTACACAGCTGAGAATTTAGAACCCATCAGACGTGAACACTCTCATGTCCCCACCATCAGATCCACAAATGCCCGCACTGCATTCCTTCCTGTCACAAGCAGGGTTTCTCTTCACCTGGCCTCTGGGACCCACCCCTCGCCTGCTCCTTGGGATAGCTCTTCTCTCCTAGCTTCATCCATCCTTCTCTCTTCTGTCACTTTCTTCCTGACAAATATGCCCTAGTAGTTCTCCTTTTAAAGATAACCTTCCCTTGAACCCTAATCCCTCTAGTTTGGGCCCCATTTCTCTACTCTTCTTTGTAGGTAAACTTCTTGAAAGCACTATCGGACTTCTCTGGCGGTGCAGTGGTTAAGAATCTGCCTACCAATGCAGGGGACACGGGTTCGAGCTCTGGTCTGGGAAGATCCCACAGGCCGTGGAGCGACTAAGCCTGCAAGCCACAACTGCTGAAGCCTGAACACCCTAGAGCCCGAGCGCCACAACTACTGAGGCCTCGTGGCGTGCTGCAACTACTGAAGCTCGCGTGCCTAGAGCTCGTGCTCCACAACAAGAGAAGCCACCACAATGAGAAGCCCTCGCACTGCCACAAAGAGTAGCCCCCGCCCGCCACAACTAGAGAAAGCCTGTTGCGCAGCAATGAGGACCCAACACAGCCAAAGATTTTAAAAAATTTAAAAAATAGAAAGCACTATCAACACACTCAGGCTCCACATCCTCACTTCACATTCTCTTCTCAATCCCCTTCCGCTGGTTGCTGCCTCTTCCTGCCCACCTGCCTTAGAAAGGTCACTAGTGACTCCCAGGTGCCAAGTCCAACAGGGACTTCTCTGTCCTTAGTTTGCTGCATTATTTATCAGCATCTAGCATTGTTTGACTATGCCCACCTTCTCAAAACACTTTATTTTTCAAATTCTTTGGCAAAGCATTTCTTTGTTTTCTCTTCCTTCTTCCCTCTCAACCTCCCTTGTTGGGTTTTCATCATATTTCCAAGCTCTACCTGGTTAGTTCCCCACTGCTTCCTCCTTTGTCCTCTTCTCTCCTTTCACTACTCCTTTTCTTTGGCTATTTCATCAATTTCCTTAGATTAAATACCGTCATGATGCTATTAATGACTCTCACATCTATACCTCCCACCAAGCACGCCCTTCTGAACTCCAGAGCTGGGTATCCCACCTGATATTTTACCTTTGATGTCTCACAGTCACCTCACACTTAGCATGTCCCAAATGTCTTATTCCTTCCTGTTGGCAGTGCTCTGGGTGCACAGCACTGGCTGTTTTCATATGCTACATGCCAAGACTGCTCACAAAGACTCCAAGTCTCCCCAGATCCGGGATGCAGTCTCACATCATGTTGGATTCTATCCAGTCTCCGATCTTGACCCTTCAAACCATCTTCCACACAGGTGTCAAATGTCATTCTAAAGCATCATTCATTCCACTTCCCTGTTCTAAGCCTATGAATGGTTACTCATCACCTCTGAGATAAGATCCATGCTCCTTGGAGTGGCAGGGCTCTGACCCTTCCCTCCGTCTCCATCTAGGCTGTGCACCTGCCTGCAATTGTACTTTCCTCCCAGCCATGTCGAGGAACCCATCTTGGATCCCTTAAGTGTTCATAATGTTAATCTAGAACACCATCCTCCATCTTTACCATGTTATGAAAATCCATCTTATAAAACTTGGCTGGATGTCACCTAGTCTGACAAGAGGATGATAAATAAGTTTGATAGAAATAACAGATAGGAAGGGTTATGCTCTCCAATCAGCAAACCAACAGATGAATACAGAGTAAACGTCTAAAAAATGATTAAATCCACTCCTGAGCCAGCCAGTTAATTGAAGACCCTTGTTTTCATTCACTGATTCATTCCAAAAATCATTACTGAACACTTACTGTCTACCATGTGCTCTTAGGATGCAACAATGAACAAGCAAACCCAGTCCTGTCCTCATGGGGCTTGTGTCTAGGGGCAAAACAGACCACAAACATGGCAACAAGTACATATACAACATGCCAAACAGGCATGCACATTAGGAAGAAACAAAGCAAGAAAATGTGTCTAAAAAGAGATGAGGGTTCTGTTTTATAGAGAGTAGTCAGGGAAGGCAAAAAATAATAATAATAATCTTGTTTCTTTACTCAAACCTGCCATTTCCCACCTCTCTACCACTATCTCTTTCCCTAAATACATAAATTTTTGAAATATTTCTACTGTAAGCCATAAGAGTTTTAAAATTTTTTCTTCTGCCTTCACATGTAAAGGTACAACGAATCTCTGAATCTGATGGGTTCTTTACTCAAACTATTTGGGAGTCCTTGTCTCGTGATAATATTTTTCTCTCTACCTCATCAGACAATGTTGTAGGCTGACTGTATCGCCTCAAAATTTATATATTGAAACCTAATTGCCCGTATGATGGTATTAGGAGGCAGGGCCTTTGGGAGATGATTAGGTCGTAAGGATGGAGCTCTCGTGAGTGGGATTAGTATCCTTATAAAATAGACCCCTGAGAGCTCCTTCATCTTTTCTGCCATGTGAGGACACAGCAGAAAGATGGTTGTCTATGAAACAGGAAGTAGGTCCTCACCAGACACCGAATCTGCCAGCACCGTGGTCTTGGATTTCTCACTCTATAGCACTCTCAGAAATAAATTTCTGTGGCTGTTAACCCACCCCATCTATGGTATCTTTTATAGCAGCCTAAACAGACTGAGTCACACAGAAATTTCCATGGAGGGAGGGACTAAACCCATTTATTCATCTGTATCTCTAGCCTGACACTGTGCCTGGCTCTTAGGAGGTGCTCAGTCACTATGAGTTGAGTAAACAGATTCCATTCAAGGGCCACTTTTTGCCTCTACCATCTCTTTGTGAAAAACTCAGCCAGTCCAGTCCAGTCCTCTAGGCCTTCTCCGATCCCCTTTCTTTTTACAGAAGCTCTTTGTGACTCCTCTGCCAAGTGTGACGCGGCCACCTCGGCAGCCCTGGAGCACGTTAACACTCCCAAGGCAGTGCATTCCTGCGACAAGCGCTCACTGAGAACTCACGACGTGCCGGGCCCTGCAGTGGGCAGCGAGGAGACAACGGTGAACACAACAGGGCCCAGCTCTTAGGAGCTCCAGGGTTCTGGGAGATGGAGGGTAACCACTGGGTCACGGAGACCGTGGTAGCTCTGGAAGAGAATCTCGGACACTTGTTGCATTTGATTTGTACTAAAATTATTCTGGTATTCGTCCTATTTTATCCTTCTAGGTCTACCCACGAGAGCAGGGACTGCTTTGGACCTCCTTAGAAATGCTCACAGTAATTATTAAAATCCCTAGCCAGAGCGGACATCCATGTGCTGAACTGGGACAAATCCCACTACTACTGCCTTTAACAATATAATCAGAGAAAACTGTTATATACCAGGAGCCTCAATACTTGCATTTTGATATAAATCTGGCCACACACATTCATTTATTCCCCAGATATTTACTGAGTCTTTCTGGTCTCAGTAATACACTGGCAAAGAACAAGAAAAGCCCAGCGCTTTAGACCATTACAGTCTGATGGAGATGAGCAGAGTGATTATCACAGCACTGCATGAGAGCAGTTAGACCTGGGCATACACACAGTGCCACAGAGGCCGGGAGACGACCACACGGGCAGTGCAGGGGTCAGGGGAGATGTACCCCTTGCCACTGGAGCTCGACCTGGGAAAACAAGAAGGAATGTGCCTGGGAAAAATGATCAACAAACCGTGGGCACAGGAACACAGGGTCACACTATGTGTTTAGTGATCCATGACCACACGGGATTTGAGGACACAGGAGTGTAGGGTATGAAACGTTGCCCGGGTGGGAGGTGGGGCTGGAAGGACAGGTTGGTAGCCAGTTAGAAAGGCCTTTAGGAGTTGGGATATTGTATCAACGACCGGACGTGTCTGAAGGGTTTGCACGAGGCAGAGGTGTCATCAGGTCTATAATGTAGAACTGTGACTGGCATCAGTGGACCTTGAGGGAGAGGCAGGAGGAAGGGGCTGCTGTCTGGCTGTGGCACAGCAGTCCAGGTGAGAGGGGGTGTGCCTGACGTGACACCATACAGCTTTCTTCTCAGACCCTGACTCGGGGGCCGAAGAGACAGGGAGGCCCTCCCCCTGCCCCCACTGTGCCCAGGAGGAAACTGCAGCCTCTGTGCCCCAGTGACCTTGTCTAGGCTTTGACCCTATTCCTGCCCTGCATGAGTCCTTTCTTGGCTGCTTCCCAGCCAGGCAGGGCATTCCTGAAGGACAGTGTCTACAACTCATCTGACATTATGAACAGTAAATAGCAATAACAATCACAGTGCACACACACGGCAGTTACTCTGAGCAGGCACATGTCTAAGCACTCAGCATATACTAACTCAGTTATCACAGTCCTACAAAATAGGTGTTGCTATTATTCCCATTTTACACAGAGGAGAACTGAAGCACAGAGAGATTAAGAACTAAAGATGGCCAACATTTCTAGGGCACTTACTCTGGGCCAGACATAATTCTAAGCCCTTCACTTGTATTAAATCATCTAGTCCTCATGATACAGGAGATATGATAGATACAGGAGATATGATAGATCATATTGTGCAGGTGGAGAACCGAGACAGAGAGGGTTAATAACTCAGGACTCAGGCAAGGTTAAGTAGTAAGTTAGGCAGAGGCTCAATTCAAACGCAGCATTCTAGTTCTATGGTCTAGGCTCTTAGCCATCATGCTAGATGCGAAGTGGGGGGATCACAAATGATTCCTGAATTCATCAGTGAAAGGTGCCGGCAGCTGCAGACAGGTGAGCATCCCCATCCTGATCAGAGCCCCTCTCTGGCTGGCTGTCACCTGGCCCTCTGCTCTGGTGACACTGGTCTCAGGACCCAGGGACCTTCAGTTTCCCTTCTCCAAAAGTCATGCTAGTGGGAATGTCCACTTGGGCCAGCAAGCCTCCTCCCTGTTCCTCGGGGATGCCAGCTCCCTGCAGGGGGGGCACTGCAGGCTCAGATGTGAGGGTGGGATTACCTGGTACCCACAGATGAGCTGCATCAGGCGATCACACATAACATTGCTGGTCAGGACCGAGTGCAGGACTTTCACGGCCGCGTACAAGGTGTGGTCATCTGTTGCTAAGGAAATGAGGCCCAGGAGGATGGCAGGGCCACCGATGAAGTCCAGGCTGCTGGCAGCAGGGCTGGAGTGGAACACCCTTACCCCTGTGTGGGACAAAGGGCATTCCTGAGTATACTACAGCTTCACTGCAGTGGAAGTTCCCGCGGCACCATGCAAGAGCTGTCAGGAACATCCTCCACTCACAGCGGGGGGGCCTGTGCACAGGACAGGCTGGGAGGAAAAGTAGGGGCTTTGAAACTTTTAGGTCAATGAGAAATCCTGTGCTGAGTCCTTTCTGGGTCACAGAAGGCTGAAACAGCCCAAGGGATTTCAGACCTCCACCCTCCGTCTCAGTCCAGAGTGCCGGATGAGCCAGCTGCCCTCTGAGCCTCAGTTTGCTGGCTGCTCTGACAACTTCTGGCTCTTGTCTGCCCTCTAGATCTGCAACGTTGGACCCTTGCATCAGTTCATGGCTTTGCTCCTGCCTGATTGCAAGGCAACCAACAGTCGCTGGCTGTTGTTTTCACCCAAACAACCACAACCATTGCCTCTGCTCAGAGGCCCCACTGTACTCACTCCACTGTGCACAGACGCCAGCCCGGTTAGTAGCGAGTTCACGACCCGTTGTCAGATGCAGCAAAGTGAACTGACCTCTGCAGGGAGGCTAACTCTCTGGTGAGATTAACTCCCAACTCTCGCACTCACTGTTCCAGCTCCTCAGCCCTCTCAGTCCTGCCTGCCGCTCCAGAATTCCAGGCTGCACAAGCGATGATGGCCACAACCCTTCTTCCCAAATAGCAGTAAAAGTTCATACCTAATTGGCCTATGGCCACGGCTCCAATGGTTCGAAGAGAACCCGAGAGGTGACTAGCACAATTTCTTAGCAAGAACACAGGCGTGGCATTGTTGCGGGATGAAATGTTCATCTAGAGAAATTGGTAACAATTAATCCAAGAAACCTTCCTGGGAAGGAGGAGGTCTTGTTCATGAGCTCCTGGAGGGCAGGCACCCACAGGCCTGGCACTCCGTAAGTGTAAGTCAGTGAATGAATAATAACTGAACCAACGTCAGAGGGACTGAAGCCAAAATTCAGGTTCCCGTGTCCTGCCTCCCAGGCTCTGGCTTAATCATAAGGGAGCAACTTCGGTTATACAACTGCGCCACCAGTGTCCCGCATGCTCACTAGTGTAAACAAATGCTCACAGTGAGGAGCTGATGAGAGCAGGAAGGACCTGAGGACACTGGAGGTGGAACGGTGCTGTGAAGGCCAGAGCTGCCTCCTTCCCGATCTAGGGTCATCTAGCTCTGCAAGCCCTGGTATCACCAGTCTCAGACGGCCAGGAAGACAGGGACCCTGGTCTCCTCCAGCAGAAGGTTCTGTGCTGGTAAGGCACAGCTTTGGTGCTCAACAGGGCTTAACCCCTGATCCTGCCGTCTCAGTAAAGGGAAGGGGCCTTTTGTCTGTGAGGGTGGAGAGAACGTAAACAAATCAGCCCGAATTCATCAGCAGTAAGCAAAAGAGCTCTTTATGCAGGAATTAGGAAACAGGAAGTCTAATGGCATCTTCATCTATAAGCATGTCTGCTTGCTGTTTTGCAAGTTTGTTGTTTGCATAAACACAGTGATTCAAAGAATATTCTGCAATGTTGGGGGGTTAGTAGCACCCAGAAAAGGGAAGCTCAGTAGTGTTCCCAGTGTTACAGAGGCTTTATAAATATTCCATTTGTTCTTGCTCTACCAAGGAAAACGAAGAACACCTACTTTCTTCTCAGAAATAAGAGGTTTAGTCTTGTGGGATGCGAATGGGCGGGCGTCATGAAATATTTTAACATATGAAGTGGGAAGCACGCCTGTGTGTAACTGTCTACACATGCACAAACGTGAATTAGTATTCACTTAATCACTGAAAGCTGAAGGAAGCCATGAGATCGTGATTCCAAAACGGAGCAGCAAGTGAAGTTAGAGGGCATACCTCTTTGGCAATCAGGCGGCTGTCCACCTCATTGTATGCGTTTCTGATGTCTGCAACGCTGGTGATGGAGGAGCTGGCTATATGAAGGCCAAAGGAAACCCTTTCCTCTGCAACCAGGGGCATCACTTCCATACAAGGGTCCTCTCCTAAAATAACACATCTTCAGTTATTTCTATTCTCACTTTACTGAGTAGGAAATTAAGCCTCAGAAGAGTAAGTATCTACTGCTACATGGCGAAGTCATCACTGAGGAATGTTTGTAGTTGCTATATGTTGTTACATTGTATGTTATATATTACATGTTTTGCCCCTACCTGTGATTTCTGACACACAGAAAACTGTAGAGAAATCTCACAATATTAATCCTACTATAAAAATAAAGGCGTTCCAAGTATAAAATTACTAAAGCTTGAGACACCTATCGAGAATGTAACCTCGCTCCCAAAATGCTGGGCCGAAAGCCCTAAGGGTTTCAATGAGCTGCATGTACATGGTAAACACATCCTTTGGCATGAGTGCCCAGGTCGCTGAGTCAAGGAGAGCCACATGTGGCACTTGAGAAGCATGGTGTGAACAGAGAGTTGATGAAACTTCGGCTCTGGACCTGACCTCCTCACATTGTTCTGGCCAGTGCCCTTTGCCAGAGGAAATGAAGATCAAAGAAGACATGGAGCCTGGAGACAGAAACACTCCAGAGCACTCAATCGCCCTTCACCAGGCACGAAGCCTTCCATACATAGATTCATTTATCATTCTTCCCAGATGGGAGCTGACCCCGTTGACTTGACAGAGCACAGAGAGCTATGCTCCCTGCTTGAACAGCCAACAATCAATAATGAAAATGTGGGTGTTTTGTCTGCCTGTTTAATAATTGAAGACAACAGTATACTTTAGTTAAAAAGCTTCTTCATTAAAAGGAATGTAACTGATTTATCTCACTCTCTTCCCCCTTTCTTTGCTGATGGTATTACCCACCCACTTTCCTCCATTATGTGTGTTGGAACTGAAATCTAAAGGAGATTGTCATTTCCTTTTCTGACATTTTCTATTGGATTGTAAATATGTAATGATCCAATTACAGAGGTTTTCCCTAATGACTGGCCTGTGCTGAGTTTATTCTTTATAAATAAGCTATAAATAACTGAATGGCCATTTAAAAAATAGTATCGGCAAGATCATTATAAATCAAAACACCCCATACCTTGGGCATGCACAGCTTGGAAGTTACCACAGTATCTTGGGCCAAGTTTGTTAATAACTTCCAGAGTTTCCATTGAGATGGCTTCTTCGAAGAGGTACGCAGGGCCCAGACGCCATATTAATAATGACTTTTGTTTCCAAACTTGAGGGGTAGCAATATATCCATAAACATCCACAAATGAAGATGGATCCATTGAAAGGAATGGTCCTGGTAAGGCCTGAATGTACAACATCTGTTAACATAAAAAGGTTGGGGGGGGTGATGTAGATGGGAGGTGTTTAACCTCAGAATTAATCAAACAAACACATAAAATATAAAATGATGTACCTTCTTCTTCTCTCAAAGTGAAAACTTGTTTTATCTAAAAACATTACAAAGATAACTCTCAAAGCTGAGAAACAGTGCACCAAACAGTTTATAAAATGCTGGTGGGAGTAAAAAACTGACACTGTGCCTTTGGAAACAAATTTGATAAGAACTATAAAGTGCCACTAAAAGGTTCATCTTTTTCTTCCCAGTCATTTCACAAAGAACTTAAATGTCCAATATTGGTACCTTAGTTAAGTTTTACGTACTAGAAATAATTACAGGCTGGAAAGGAAGAAATAAAACTGTCTCTATTTGCAGATGGTATGTCCATGTAGAAAATTCCAAAGAATCTACCAAAAAAAAAGATACTTCCTAGAACTAACACCTGAGTTCAGCAAGGTCACAGGATATATGATCAACACACAAAGATCGATTGCATTCTATACACTAACAAAGAACATGCAGAAACTGTAACTGCTCACAAGAAAATTAAATACTTTTTTGCTCTGCAAAATCCCATATGAAAGAGGATGAAAAGCAAGCTATAGATTAGGAGAAATTATTTACAAATTACATATCTAACAAAGGACGGGTATCTAAAATATTTAGATAAACTCTTAAAATTCAACAGTAAAAAACCAACAATCCAATTAGAAAATGAGTGAAACACGTGCATAAGACATCACTAAAGAGGATATACAAGTTGCAAATAAGCGCATGAGAGGATGTTCAATCTCATTAGCCATTAAGGAAATGCAAATTAAAAACAAGAGATATCATCACTACACACCTATCAGAATGGCTAATTAAAAGAGAGTGACATCACCAGATGCAGAGAAACGGGACGATTCATCCATTGCTGGTGGGGATGGAAAATGGCACAGTCGCTATGGAAAAATATTGTGGCAGCTTCTTATAAAACTAAACATGCACTTACCATAGGACCCAGCAATTAGACGCTTAGGTATTTAACCCAGAGAAATGAAGACTTAAGCTCACACAAAAACCTGTACGTAAATGTACATAGCAGCTTTATTTGTAACATCTCCAAACTGGGAACACCTCCGATGTCCTTCAGTGGGTAAATGGTTACATATCCATATCTGAGTATATGGAATACTATTCAGCAATAAAAAAGGGATGAACTACTGACACATACAACAACTAAGATAAATTTCCAGAGAATTACGCTGAATACAAATCTAATCCTAAATATCACATACTGTATGATTCCATAGATATAACCACATCTTTTAAATGACAACATTTTAGCTCACTGGTTGCCAAGTTTAGGGACAGGGATTGGGAGGGGGTGTGGGTGGGTGGTGGTGGTAGTTATAAAAATACAACAAAAGAGACCCTTGTGGTGATGGAAATGTTCTGTATCTTGGTGGGAGCAGTGGATGCAAGAACATACAAATGTGATAAAATTGTATGGAACTAAATACACACGAGTACAAGTAAAACTGGGGAAATCTGAATGAATTAGCAGATTGTATCAATGTCAATATCTTGGCTGTGATATTCTATAGTTTTGCAAGATATTACCATTGGAGTAAACTGGATGAAAGGTACACAAGATTTCTTTCTTTCTTTCTTTTTTTTTTTTTTTGCGGTACGTGGGCCTCTCACTGTTGTGGCCTCTCCCGTTGCGGAGCACAGGCTCTGCAGCCATGGCTAACGGGCCTAGCCGCTCCGCGGCATGCGGGATCTTCCCGGACCGGGGCACGAACCCGTGTCCCCTGCATCAGCAGGCGGACTCTCAACCACTGCACCACCAGTGGTACTTAGTCAATCTCTTTCTTACCACTAAATGTTAGCCTACAATTTTCTCAAAAATTTTCTCAAAATTTTCGATAAAAGAAATAGTTAACAGATTATCAGAAATTCAAAAATAATAGTTTCATAGCCCACGTAGATAAAACATTTTAAAATGATAGTGTTAACTAAGTAGTATATAAAACGTTTTATACAATAAAGTCACAACTATTTTATTAAAGGAATAAAAACTGAAAGAAACTAAAAATGATGGTAAGGTAGAAGGAATGTAGGTAATCTTTCTTCTTTATTTTTCAGTTATTTCAAAATGTGTTTATATTATTTTTATAATGACTACAAAATTATACATGAATATGTATATAAATACATATTTTTTAAATAAGAGGTTATATAATTTCAGAAATATTCTTTTTATCCCTACCAATTAAATAAGACTTTCAAATAAAAACAAACCAAGTTTTTCCAAGCTGTCAAGCCTACCTAGAGTGAGGTCTACTGTGCTCTCTCTCCCCTTTCCCATCCTTGTAGGCAGAGACTTTTTCTCCCACCTGATAAAGATGCCCCACCCCCCAATCCACCTTGTCCCCTTCTTCTCAGATTCCTACCGTGTATACTCCCTGCACTATTCAGATTGATTTATAGACATAAGATGTCTCAGATTGCTCCCAAATCATTTTGCTCAATTCAAGCTGTTAACACACTCCCCACCTTTCACAGTTGAACTTGACTTCCCTTGGAAATAAAAGCAAAGGCTCTAACATTTGAGAACAGCTCTTTCACTAGGTTATCCCCAACCAAAGCCCATTTTGTTCTTGCCCAACTGTCACCTGCGTCTAAACACAGACCTTTATGTTTATCCCGATTAAATTTCACTTGCTGATTCTGACCGGACTTGTCGAAATCATCTTGGAAAGTCAACTCTGTCAGACTCGGCCCTTGGCCATTCTCCATGGCCTATTTTGGCATATTCCATAGCATCATACCACTTCCACCCTCCCTGCTGACTGAATCTGGTTTAGCTGGTCCCACGGGGTTGGATGTTCATCCATGTACCAATTCACTAAACAATACCATCAGCCGGTCCATGTTACTCCTTGCGGCTATAAATTCAGTGCAATTCATCAAGTGTTTATTGCATGCTTTCTGTATGCCAGTCCTGTGCTAGGTGCAAGCAAGTTCCAAATAGCAATAGGACAAGCCTCTTAGCCTCAAGGTACATGATCTAGTTCACAGAACACAACCTATTCTATGAAACAAGAGAGAATGCCAACATATTCTGTGAAAGAGGACCCAAACTAGTCCACTCTGTAATTATGCCTAAACAGATGAAAAACAAAGACACTGGGAAACCACAAATGTGACCACACTTTCCATCCTGGCTAACGTTGAGTGACCACTGCTCCTTCTCCACTGACAGCTCAAGCCCTGCCCCATTCCTCCTACCTCCTGAAAAAAAGTTCTGAACATACACAGACACCAAATTGCCTTTCTGACAGCACCCAAGTCAGAACAGACTGACCTCCACTTCTTCGAACCCTCCCAAAAACTCACCTAAAATGAGCCCAAATCCTATTAGCTCCTCCTAAGTCCTTATTACCCAATGGGGTAAGTAGTCTCTTGCTACAGCAAGCTTAATAAATGTAACTCTTGTTTTGTACTATATGCATGCTCCTGGAGGTATCTGGCTGGTAGGCATGAACAATTCCTAACACCTAGTAGGTGTCCAATAAATATTTAATGAGGGAAGGAAGGGAGGGAGGGAAGGAATTGTTAATGATTTAAGAAAAAAGTTAACTTTATGTTTTGAAGGACCTTTGTCACGCTCCTGGTGAATCTTTCTGGTTACCACTGCTTTTTTTGATAAGACATTTACCAGAAGATAGCATCAAATTCATCTTCAGGTGTTCCACAGAATTTAGGTTGTTCTAACCTAATGATTCTCAACCTGGGCGATTTTGCCCTCCCCCATCAAGACATTTGGAAATGTCTAGAGACATTTTTGGTGGTCACAGCTGGGCAGAAGGAGATGCTATAGCATCTTTGGTGGGGCACAGATGCTGCTAAGTGTTCTAATATACACAGAATAGGACCCCACAGCAAAGAATGATCGGGCCCCAAATGTCAAACTACTGAAATGGGAAACCCTATTAATTTCAAGTTCTCCATTCTGGCTTAATATTGGAATCACTTGGGAAACTCTGAAAACATCACCAAATTACCCCACTCACAGACATTCTGCTGTATTTAATCTGGGGTATAGCCTACGCAAGAGAACTTTTAAAAGACTTCCCAAAAGATTCAAGGACGTAGCCTAGGTTGAGATGCTGTCTCTGGAACCTGGGTGAAAATCTGGCTGCACCTGCCCTCTGTGGTCTCCTGGGTCCTTCTGTCTCTGGCTTCTTTGGGGACCTCTGACAGTAGTCGCTGGAGCACGCCTGCCAGTCTTCATCTCCCAGCTTCCTCTCCCTTATGCCCTAGGACCTCAGGTGTCTCTAAATGACAGTGAGGAGACGCTTCCTCCAGCTGTGTGTTCACATTCTATTACCTTCTCTAAGCAGGGGACCGTCCTTTCCTCATCACTCCTGCTCTAAATCTGGCAAGACATGTTGGTGTCTTTGCAAGTCCCTGTGTCTTGCTGCTAAGTGTAGCACGCAGACTGGCTGCATTAGATTCACCAAAGAGCCTCTTAGAAAGGTAGAACCTTGGGTCCTGCTCAGAGCCCCCTGGGGAATTCACACCTTAAAATGTGAGAAGCCTTGTTCTGTTCATTCTGGAGATTTCTATTCTCTTATGATTATTCTTATAATCGTAGCTGTCATGACTATTCTCATTTCCATGTTTTAGTTTCTGCCCTGGTTGTGTGACCATCATCTAAAGGTGTTCTTTTTATGCCTAAGCTCAGCCAGGTGTTCTGGACAGCAAGGGGGTTTCATTAGATACCAACGCTGCTGCCAAAAGAAAGCAAAGAACTGAGGCCACTCCAGGGTGGTGTGGCAGGGAGGCATGGCCATGGGGCAAGTACAACTGAGGAAAACCATCTTACCTTAGCTGAGCCGATGACCTGTCCATCCAGATAGGTGGAAACAGTACAATTCCTTTTCATCTCCTTGGTGACAACCACAGCCAGGTGGTGCCACTGAGCACAGGCCAGCATCTGGCCACACCTGACCCGAAGCTGGCGTCCCGCAGAAGGCTCAGGGTCACCCTCGGGTTCCATGACATCTGGAAGAGAACACAAACACCAGACCACGCCTGCAGTGTCAGAGAGCAGCAACCCAGCAGAAGCGGGCCTTGTGCCCGTGGAGCCAATGCCGAGTCCCCCCGCCACAGAATATTGACAACGGCAGCTGTCATTGCTGGAGCTCTTGCTCTGTGCCAGGCACTGAGGTAGGCACTATCGTGATTTCCATGTTACCATCCTGAGGCACAAAGAGGTTAGGTAACTTGCCTAAGGTTGCAGAGCCAGAGTTCAAGCCCAGGAGCCAGGCTGCAGGGTCTACCCCTCACTAGACTGCTGCCTCCACAGTGATGCACACAGGGTGGCAAATACCTGCGAGGGAAGGAGCCTAGGCAGCTGTGCTGTGTGTAAAGGATGCCAGGCCAAACCCTGGGCCTTCCAGTGTCAATGTCTCACTATGAAACGGGGCGCACAAGGACAGGCGTAGCCATAATACCCTGGCCTTGGCCAGCTCAGGCCAGTTCAGGCCATCGCTGGCAGGTGAGCTTGGAGAGCCAAGCTGAGCTCTTTGAGGCAGAGCCAGGAGCAGCCACCTGTACAACTGAGGGAGGGCCGGTCCCCCTGGCTCTTGGGCCAAGAGCTGCTGACTCAGCCCCACTTCTCCCAAGGGTGGGTGAAAGCTTACCCAGGGGCTGAAGCTCTTTCTCTTCTGTAGACACAACCAAGGAGAGGTCTTCCGGGCAGAGGGTGACGGAGAAGCAGACGAAGGGCTGCTCGGTCCTGGCCAGGTGGCGTACCACGGTCAGGAAGCGCAGCGGGTGGCCCTCCGTGACTGAGCTGTGCCTGCTGATCAGGAACCAGCAGGAAAAGGTCAGGCCCCCTGGCGGAGGGAAGGACCTGGCAGCGCCTGGGGTCAGAACACAAGCACGCCCTTAGGCTTTGTCCTGCTGCGGAAGCCTGTCTAGACTCCCTGTGGCTCTGGCTCAGCTCAGGGGTGGCCCTACTGTGTGCTAGCACTGTGCCCCACCCGACTCACACCTATTTTACAATGACCCCACGCAGGAGGATGCTCTTGTCTCCTTATTCATACTTGCAGCAATAAGGCATATTCCCTCCAGCACTTGAACCTAGATCCTCGAAGCCTCTCTCCAATGCTGGCCCACCTATTATTCCATTCTGCCTTTCCAAGGGGGCGGAGACGTGACACACCCCTGAGATCCGTCATCATGTGGCCCACAGGTCAGCTGGTCTAAAGCCAGGCCATGTGCTACGTGGGGCAGAGGACCCCGGCCTAGCTTGGCTAAGCCTTGCCTGGGGAATATTCCACTCTAGGGAAACCCATGCCCTCCCACCCTGTAACAGGGTTGGTGGAACAGGCAGGGCCCACTGCCTTCACCGAATGGGCAGAATCAGGCTTGGAACCCTGCGTCGATGGGCCGTAAATGTAATAGCTCCTGAGCACCTACCCTCCCATAGAAACTCAGACCCTGGCTCTCCTAACAAGGGGTGCCTGGTTTTCAGCTGAGTGCAGCACTGTACAAAGCATGCCAAGGCCCAGTCGATCCCCACGTGAGCCAAAGACTGGATGGCCATCAGCAAAGAACTCATATTCTTCTCTAGAGAGAGCCGTAAGGTGGGGTGAGGTGTCCATTTCAGCCTCTGTCAATCACTGACAAAATGCATCAAAGCCAGGCTCAGCCACCAACTCACCCACCGAGCCCATCAGTGCTAACAGAGCCCCCGCTCTGTGCAGAGCCATGGGCTGGGTCCTTGGGATGCACAGTGAACAGAACATCCCTGCCCCAAGGCAGGCATGACCAACGGGACAAGCGGGACCAAGAGGAAGACTCACGCCTTCTGGAAATGCCAAGTGGAAATCTGAAATCAAGGCTCCCCAAGGACTTCCTCCCAGGTCGGGGAGGGGACCTCAGCAAGCTAAACCCCCGGGGAAGCACCTACCTGTCCCAATCCCTCCAGAGACCGAGTATTCAGTGCTGGTTCCCATCACCGTAGACAGGGTTGGAATAAACAAACAGCTGGAACAGGAAAGTGTCTCAGATCATTGAACCGCAAGCCAACCTCTGGCGTGAGGTTTCCCCCTCTGTCCTTCTGCAGGGGTCTCACTCCCTCCTAGACCATGAGGCCCCGAGGACAGAAAGCAGCTGATGCTGGCGCCATGACCCTAAGAAAGGAATCTGCTCTGGAGGCTAGAGGGGAGGGCAGTCCACACTGCACGTGAATGCAGACACACCAGGGGAATGAGAGGGTCCTGGCCCAAGACAGCTGGGGACACTGCCTCTAAGAAGCCACTGAGAAGACAGGGTGTCCATGACCCAGATATTTTCCACAGCTGAGGGTGAGAGACGATGGGAACTACACTTTTGTAATCAATATTATAATTCACCCAAGGTACTGGGAAATTAATAGTGTATTTCAAGTATATGAAAGCCTGTCATACCCATAACCTTCCGCAGACATGTCAAATTCCACGAAGGATGGAGCCAGGGCTGCCCTCTGAGGCTGCAGGTTGCGTGGGGAGGTCATGGAGATGAGGCTCAGTGCTGTCTGAAGGGCGGTGGTTGAGCCCTGGGATGGCCCTGAGGGCCTGCGGGCCTGTGTGACTGCGGAGCGAGGGCTGGTGTCCAGGGGATCCTCAGCAGGCACCGGTGTCACTGCCTGTGACCCTAGGGCAGCAGGCAGGAGAAGAGCTGTGTCTTTGCTCAAACCATTCCTGCCCCTCTTCTGACAACAGCCCCCACATTTCTGCCACAGCCCCGAAGGAGGGCTCTGCAGAGTACCATGCCGTTCCCAACCCTGAGGGTGTCCTCCTGGGCCCTCCACTGGCCCTCCCACCTGGGCTCTCTGCTGATTTTGATAACACGGAACTATTGTGACAACCTGCTCCACCTAGAAACTTCTTCTCACTTTAATTCTGTCGTGGCCCCCACCCCTTTCCAATACAGGTTTTCTGTTGCTGTCACTGGCTTGCCCCGTTGGCCGTCGCTCACCGCGGCTTTGTCTTGGTTCTCTGGCCTCCACACTCTCTTTCACACCAGGCTGTCTCCTCGAAAGCTCTGTCTCCCACCTCTGGCTGCCGGCTCAAGCCTGACTCTCCATCCTTGCTTTTCAATTGGGCCTCCTTGCCTCAATGTCCTATGCAATCTTATATGCAGAATGCCCATGTCCTTCTTTTCTCCAAGCTGGTTCCCTGGACCAGCATCTTTCCAGGTACCAGGCCAATCCTTTGTTCTCCTGACCTCCTAACTGCCCCCTGAGCTGTGAGCTGTGCAGAAAGCTGACACTGTTCCTCTGCCCAGGGGCAGCGCTGGGTACTCTTGCACGCGCTGTGACATGAAGGTTTCTGTGCTCCAGGACCAAAGGGGTCAAGTACACACTCATCATCACCATCTCGTATGGGGGTAGGGGTCTCCCTCCTTCCATATCTGGTCTTTATCTGGGGACCACCGATCTGATCCTTCTGCTTTTTCCTCATTTGCTCCATTGAGCAGCAGGCAAAATCATTTTTAAATCTGTCTGCTTCCCATATGTTGTAAAGGATCCCTTACGAGAAATGCACATTCTCTTTTAAATCCCATTATCCTGCCCCTACTCCTCCCTCTGTCCTCACCTGGGCATCCAGAGTCCGCTCCACGTACGTGAGATGAACGGAGGATTTCCGCTGCAGCCGATGGCGGTGGAGCAATTCCAAAACCTAGAAACTGTCTGAATATCATAACAAACAAGAGAACCAAATGAAGACATTTTGCAGGCAGAAATTTTCTCCAGCTTCATCTGAGCACTGTCCTAGGTCCCAGAGCTCGCTGGCTCCCCCTCCAGGCCTTCCTCTCTCTGCCTGGAAACCCTTTTCTCAGGCCATACAGAAACAGGGCATCCCTGACCTGGCACTCAGACCAGAGAGCTGGTGAATTTAAGTGCTTTTGACTTAACCAGTGAGGACCTTAAGAGGAAAAGGGTTTTGTTGGAAAATAACTTTGTCATACTTTGTTTTTAAGTTTCTAATGGAATTGACTAATCAGCTGAACTAAGCACGGTGGCCTTGTCTGACAGCCCCACAGCTAGAGGTGGAAAGAGGCTGGCCTGGCCCCTGGGTCCCATGCCTGCTGGCTGGAGGGGTTGCCTTTCGTCCCTCTGCACTTGGTCCTGTGTGTCAGCAGGGGTCCAGCTGGCCTGTGGCCCTGGGCACCACCGTCCCTACACCTACATTGTCTAGGGCAGGGTGGCCTGGCCACAAGTACTTGAGAGACCCCTGACCTCCCTCCTAGAGCCTTTCTTTCCTCTGCTTTTCTGTCTTCTGTGTCTGCTCCTCCTTGTGCATCTTCTCTCCCTGCTGTGGCTCTCCAGGAGACATGTGGCTTCACGGAGGGGCTGCAGTGCAAAGGCCCCACAGGACACAGTGGTGCTGCCTCTGTCCCCGTCCTTGTAGGGAGCCCAGTCGCGGCCCGTCACACCAGCAAAGCTCCCTGTGGTCTAGCCTCGTGGCAGTCAGGCCCCTACAGCCTCCACCCCTCTCAGCAGGGTATCTTCACCTGGTCTGGTGAACTGCACAGGCCACAGGCCTCAGCCACTGCCACTCCCTTGAAGTCCCCCTCTTTATACCCAATCTCCCGACTTTGGTCCTCCCAGGTCCTCAGAGCTCCCACTCTGAACTGAGCATCCCATCCAGCACTGTCCTGTATTGTCTGCAGGACCCTTTGCTTATTATCCCTCTCCCCGAGAACATCAGCTCCATGGGAGGGGCTACGTCCGCTCTGCGGGCCTCACACTGTTGCAGACCCAAGGCTCCTCCCTGGACTTGCAGTGTCCACTGCTGGGGAGGGGGAGGGGGCACTCTTACTGCCCCCTGTGCACTCGCGTGGCCGCCAGGGGCTTGGCAGCATTTAACGTGCCGCACACGGTACCTTAACACGTCTGGTTCAATGGCTTGGGAAGCAAGCTTTTCAAAAATCCTGATGAGCCCCGAGTGCAAGGGGCTGCTGCTGGTGGTCAGAGCCTGGTGGCAGTAGGTCATAAGGGTCCTGAGCATGCCCGCCTCACACATGACCTGACGGTTCTTCTCCGACTTCACCAGGGACTGGATGTGACTGGCCACGGAGCACTGGATCTCCTCGGAAAGCTAAGAGTAACCAAAGCAAGCAGTGAGCCCCGGAGGTCGGCATGTTTCGTGGGCCACTTTGGTAAGCTCCCCACTAGGCCTCGAGTTGGTGGTGGGGCGAGGAGACTAGCCCTCACAGCCTGTTCTTACTGCACCCCGTCTGTCCTGGGCCTCTCAGATGTGGCCTCCTCACAGGAGCTGCCAAACAGGTAGACAGCTTCAAACAGACTGCAAACTGGCAAGCGAGAGGCTGCGTCAGCCTGAGACGTGTGGTGCTTGACCCGCACCATGTTTAAACCGTTTCTGAACTGCTAACATTTTTAAAAGCCTGGAGAGTCCACGTAAAAGTCCAGACTTGTGGTCTCTCTCAAAAGGTGGAAAGATCTGGTCATGCTGCTTTGCCATCCTGTGTCTGTCAAGAAGCAGTGGGAGCTGGGCAGCGGCTATGCCCTCTAGCGGGTCCCACAACTCACCCCCTACCCACTGGCATCGCTCACTCAACAGTTCTGTGTTTGAGTTTGCGCCCCCAGTCTAGAAGGTGGAATCCTCCTGGGAGTGCCAGCCTGCAGTAGGTGCCCCACCCAGCTGCAGCCCACTCCACCTTCACGTGCCAAACCACACCAGCCCATACAAGCCCCTGAAGTCACGGCTCCAGCGGGGAAGACCTCCCTGCACCCCTCATCCTTTGTCCATCTCTCTCTGCTAAGCACTTTCAGACACACAGACAGCTGGCCTCTTATCTTCCTCCTACTAGATTTCAACTCACTTCACTATCTTTATGTCCTTGAGGCCCATAGGATAAAGTGCATAGAATCAGCTCAGTCAGTATTGAGCCAAATACAATACATTGTTTTCACAATCTTCCTTTCTTCATAAAAGGGTAAACCCCTGGAATTCCCAGCCTCCACGGATATATAAATTGGGGGGTGGAATTTTCTTCATAAAAACTCTTAAGACTGCCCACATTTTCTTTTACTTTGTATAAGACTCTCTGAAATGACCAGGATACCAGTTAGATCTTAATGGAGTTTTCCGGCAGTGGACGTCCTTCTCCAGGTTAGTGTACCCATCACAGCTGCCCCTCCTGTGGAGGTCAAGCTCCCCTAAGTTGTAGCTGCCCTGCTATGTAACCCCCATATGTATGTTCATGCATGCATACATGTGTGTACACGTACACATACATGCACGTACACACATACATAAAAGTGTGCGCACATAAATACAGACACATATACATCGCCCCCAGACTACAGCCAATGAAGCCATGCCCTTCAGCCTCTGTGGTGCAATTCATGCTGAGAGCCCCACCCTGTAGGCTCAGGCTGAAGCTAGACTTCAGCTGATAGCATGTCCTCACTCAGCTCCTTCCCCTGCACCACTCTGCTTCCCTCACCTCCCTTCTTCTGAGTCCCTCCCTCCACAAATCCCATGCACCTGTAGCCCTGTCTCGGGCTCCACTTTGGGGAACCCAAGCGGAGACCCTAGCCTGCTTTTCATATTACACACATTTGCCCTAGTCTCTGGTTTCAAGAAAAGGTATCTATGGTGATGTAGATTATGTCTAGCTTAGTCTACCAACATAAAGCCAGGAGTCACCATAAAGGCACTTACTCTGGGACTCTGGACCCAACACTCAGAATCACCTCGCTCTACCATCACCTACCTCCCTGTGCATGTAGTTATTCGAGGCCACCCTGCCCAGAGATGGTCAAGAATATGTCTGTATCACTAAGGGATAGAAATTTGTAAGATGATGTTCTTCTTCAGGCTGTGAACACAGTTTTGTAGCACATGTGTTTCAAGGACTACAATGTGTGGTGAAACATATTTACAGTGTTTGTCATCAGTTTCTAGATTTTTTTAAAAAGGAAGGGGTGGGACTTCCCTGGTGGTGCAGTGGTTAAGAATCCGCCTGCCAAGGCAGGGTACACAGGTTCGATCCCTGGTGTGGGAAGATCCCACATGCCGCGGAGCAATGAAGCCCGTGTGCCACAACTGCTGAGCCTGCGCTCTAGAGCCCATGAGCCACAACCACAACTCCTGAAGCCCGCATGCCTAGAGCCTGTGCTCTGCAACAAGAGAAGTCACGGCAATGAGAAGCCCGTGCACAGCAACGAAGAGTAGCCCCCGCTCGCCACAACTAGAGAAAGCCCGCATGGAGCAACAAAGACCCAACGCAGCCAAAAATAAATAAATAATTTTTTTAAAAAAAAGGAAGGGGTCACACAGCTCACCCTCCCATCCTCCCACGCCTTCCAAAAGCATGACGCCTATAGCTCCTGCCTCAAACTGATGGCATTCAGTGAAATTCCCATCATTACAATATCTTCAGTAATATTTACGACTTAAAATTTTAGACTATTCAATTTTAGTTTAAAATATAAACTACATTAGAATGGTTTCAGGGGGGCTGCTCCCAGGTAGGATTTTGTCACTCTGTCAACATCACTGATGTCAAGGAGAGATCTCATCACTCAAAGAACATGGTCCCTGCAATGGACTGTTTGTGTTCCCCCCCACCAAATTCATACGTTGAAACCTAACCCCCAGTGTGGTGGTATCTGGAGGTGGGGCCTTTGAGAGATGCTTAGGTCTTGAGGGCAGAGCCATCATGAATGGGATTAGTGGCCTTAGGAAAGAGACCCCAGACAGTTCCCTCCTCCCTTGCACCACGTGAGGACACAGCGAGAAGAGTGCCATGAGTGTGGAAGTGGGTCCTCACCAAACACCGAATCTGCCAGCACCATGATCTTGGACTTCCAGCCTCCAGAACTGTGAGAAATAAATTTCTGTTATTTGTAAGCCACCTGGTCTATGGTATTTTGTTATAGTGGCCCGAATGGATGAAGACAATCCCCTTCCCTGTCACTGTGGTATCTGCACAGCCAGCCTGAGATGCTAGAGGGACATGTATAACCCAACAGGGACCAGAAACAGAAGAAAGAAATGTCAGATCTAATTTGCACTAAACAGTTCCATGTCTTTTACTTTAAGACGCTCTTCCATGTAGAAACCTCCCCAACCTCCTGACTCCCTTCCCCAAATCTTTCTTCCAATGCTCTAAGTGTCCCTTCCTACATCCAAGGAGCCCGCACCTCTGCCTTCCTTCTTCACTCTTCTCAAAACAGAAAAGCTGCTTCTACCCTCTTGCCCAGAACTCTCCCTCTCCCAGAACTTGGAATATTTGGTAACTGCAGTCTTTTAATTTGGGGTGAAAGTTGGGGAGACAGTCTGCATGTAATAAGATGCAAAAATAACAACACAATGTATTATTAATAAGAATTAAAAAGAAATGTCTACAACCTCCAATTTTTATTACCAGCACTTCACTTATTGCTTTGGGGACTTTTGGCTTTCCTTTTTGTTGTTGTTTTTGCTTTTTTTTTTTCCTCACCAGAGCAGGAATACTTAAAATCTAAATATGCAAAAAAGAAAGAAAAAAAGAAAAAATTTTCAAAAAGGAGACATAGAAATGCTGATCTTATCTAATGATGCTACAAGTTTACTCCAAAATTGCTCAATACCCCATAATGGAGGAGGGAAAATTGATCGTCCTCATTATCGCTGCAGCTTTGTCAATACCAATATTGCCTTGTTTTGAATAAAATGTGCTGTTTTTTTCAATGTTGGTTCCAGTAAAATGGGGTTTTAGTGAAAATATGAGCAGTAGCAGGAAACCAGTCTGGTTTCTCCCCCTACAAATGGATTGATTTTCCTAACGCACATTACTTCCAATGCAGGAAGGGGATAGTGGTTCAATTAGGACTCAGTGGTAAGCGCTCAGGGTCATCAGCAGGCTGGACCCACAAGGCAAATTATCACAGAGAGATGTGCGGGGCCGCCTGTAGGAGTTTTCTGCCTTCTCCACTTAGCAGCTGAGTCCTCAAGTCTGTCCTTGTCCAGCTGTGGATGTTTAATCTTCTTTATCTCTCTCCCACCCCCCACCTTCTCTCCTGGTCCAGGTTAATATGGTGGTCCCAGAGCCCAGTGAGGGCTGGGTCCTGGTGGGGTGGGTCCCTCCAAGGAGGCGTGGGCTATGAGTACATCAGTCCAGAGTGTGTCTTCTAGACATTAATCATGTAGTCCGAACTAAAAACCATCAGATGACCAGCATCTGCTTCCCCCAGACACTTAGAAAGAACTAGGGACTGTCACTGAGCTACTCAAATTTGGACTAGTCACTTATTCCAATTTGGTTGAAATGTTCTTTATTTGATGATTTTGGAAGACAGATGATACATTTTAAGTGACCTCTGCTCTTCTGGGATGTCACAGGTAAATATGTGTTTTATTTGTAAAGATGTGTTTTATCTGACAAGGTAAAGATGTGTTTTATTTGACAAGTCGTTGTGGTTTTTATCTTTGCTTACTTAGAATTAGCTCTTTCTTTATATGGGCATAAACTTTCCATTGTGCACAGCCCCCACCGGCCTAATACACTCGTTTGCAGTGCCCACATGGCCTTATAGGCATGGGAGTCTGTGATCTTGGTTTAGGTGTAAGAGGGTCCAAATCCCATTGAATCAGTAGAATCCATGTCTAAAGGCATGGCTTCTTGGATGTACTTGTATAGATTTGCAATGAAGACCAAGATGCATGTGGGTGCCTGCTTTAAATCTTCTGCTTCTTTTACAATTTACAAATTACATACATATTTTGGCCAATACTTCCTGGTTACAGAAGCCTAGGATCTTATATTAATAAAATATTTGTCTCTTTCCAGCTTTACTTCCCAACCTCCCCTTTGGTCCACCGTGTACTCTACCCCAGTAACATCCTCACCCTTTGCTGAATACGCCATAACCTTTTTGACTGATGCTCAAAGTTGAGAATGTCCTTTCTAATCCCATCCCTTTGCTGAGGTCCTACTTATTAAAGAGACAATTCACACGTTCTCTCATCTAAGAAAACTTTTCTGATCTTCCTAACTAGCACTGTGTCCACACCTGAATCATTATAAACACCACACTATGACAAGCTATCTATCTATTTACCAAGAACTGTGAACTGCTGCCAGAGAC